CCGCCCCTCCTGCCACGTCAGAGTGCCAGGGGACAGAGAGGAGGGCCCTGGGCACACTGGGGAAAGGCTGCTATGCCCTGGGCCATGGGGGGTCAGCAGCACAGGCGGGTTTGCCCCCGGCTGTGGGGGCTTGGTGAAACTGGAAGTGTCACAGTGGTTTTGCTTTTGCCATATTGACTGGCATGCCAGTTAGTAGACCATGCCGGTTTGTAAGGCAGAGGATAACGCAGCTTATACTCTATCTATCTATCTATCTATCTATCTATCTATCTATCTATCTATCTATCTGTGTGTGTATAGATACACACACACACACACACACACATGTGTATATGTGTATGTGTATATATGTCTACACATACACACTTTATCTGCAATAACATGTTTCAAGCACTAAGTAATAGCTAGTATTAAGATACGTGCGCGCGCACACACACATATATATATATGTATGTGTACAGTGATACCCAAGGGCATTTATTTTTAAATAATCAAGACATAAAGTGTAGCTGACATCACAAAACAGTCTGAATTAAACCAATGCAAATTAAAAGGGAAACTCTCTGCCCCTGTATTCCATCTCTTGCATGCAGTGTGTAAAATAACTCATTTCAAGCAGTGCATGGAAAATGCTTTAAAGATTATCATGATGAGAAGGAAAAAGCCACCATGCACTGTGGCTATATACTTGAACATGCTCCTCAACAAAACAACTGCCAGAGATAACTATGAATAGCACTCCTCCTGTCCCCCAAACAAAAAGAAATACTGCAGAAAATGGTTGCAAAAGTAGCAAATGCAACATATTCCTCAGTCTTAAAGGCTTCTATGACTATATCAAAGTGTTTGCTGACACACTAGTAGTCACTTTACCCTTTATAATCCACTGTAGGATAAAGTAGCTGTGTTTCAAATGGGATTCTCATCAATCAAGAAAAAAGCTGTGGTTATATGAGTTGCTAAGATTCCTCAAGTCAGAAAGCCAGACTACACAATCAGATCAGAAGGCTGAGTTATTCTATACCTGTAGGTTTTTACTGTAGAAGAGAATTAACCAATTTTCCTTAATCTGTCACTTTACAGAATAAAAATAAAGGCCTTCCACATTTTTAAGCTGTAGTAAAGTATTCTAATTCAACTGAATTAGTTACACCGGGGGGGGGGGAGGCAGGAAGGCTATTTAGGCACATAAAAATGAAGGAGGGGATTTTTTTTCTCTTTCCTACATTTTCTTTTGGAGATCTTAGAATTCTTCATTCATGTTTAATAGCTACAAATTAGCTACTTATGCATGGTTTTAGCATTATTTGAATAAAAATATCCCAAAGCTACAAATGAGACTCAGAAGGATCATAGCCTGGCTGTGATGAACTGGGAAAATGTATGCATTACTTATAACTATTTATGTGCGGCTTAGTTTCCCTGTTCAACTCTGAATTGCTAATTATTTTAATTCAAGAGATTGAGTCTGACATTAGCTAGAGGGAAAAAAGATAAAACAGAGTTCCTCCAAATACAGAAGCTAGGTTTACATTTCTGAAGTGGGAGCCAATACTGGCAACAGGGTGCTTGCGATAGCCAAAGATTTAATAGGCCTACTAGGGAAAGGATCTGTAATCACTGGGCGCATTTACATGTTGCCATATGGTGACACTGCTATGGCATTTTGGAAGTACTTTTGGAAGTACTAAAGCATGGCACAGTATGGGTGGTTACTGTGCTGTGCGTACAGCGCAGTTAGATTTTGCCACTACATCACTGTAGCAACATGCTATAACCGGAGAGCGCACTGCTATGGCAATGTAACTGGTGATCACATGTAGACCTGCATAATCGCTATGTCACCACAGCACATTGCTACGTCACTGTAGGGTGATATGTAGATGCACCCATTAAGCAGAAGATTGATCTCCAGGGAGAATGGAGGGGCACTTGGTCTAAGTCAGTTCTACTCCAGGATCTTGTGGGGCATGGCAAGTGGGGACAACCAAATAAGCCTGGAGAGGAATGGATAACATGATCTACGTCATGTCCTTGGCACTGGTAGGGTGCCCTCTCTTGAGAATGCTCCCCTCACCTATTCTTACATACAGGCACCAAACACAGAAATGTGATGGTGAAGCCACTTTGGAGAAATCACATGTGATTGCTTTAAAAATACCAGAAACAGACTTTACCAGTAGCTGCAGGGAGCACCCACAGTATGGCTTTACCACTGCATTTCTACCATTGTGCATGTAAAACAGGAAGAGATGACCAACATATGGTGGAAAGCAGGCGCCCTTGACTGTGCTGAGGACACAATGTGGACACATCCTTTGCTGTCTTATCCCCTCTTCTTTAAGCACTGTACTCTTTCTGACCAATTAGTATTTTTTTGAAGACGCACTTTCAGGACTATTGCTTAATGTTTCCTGTCCACAGGATTCCAAGGATGAAGCTCATCAGGTTGGTAGGCAGGAGTTGTATCCTCAAGGCCCAGTCACAGACTGGCTGGAGTGACATGCCATTATTCATAGAGAAGGGGAAGGATAGGGTCCTTGAAAAGGAGACTGAAAAGGGGTCTCAAATGATAACACCTACACCATGGACCATGATGCACTGAATCAGGAAAACATATCAGCATGAAAATTCAGATGAACTGAAGTGAGAATCTAGATAAGGCTGTTCCCAGATCAAAACACGTGCTTTGTGCCATGGAAGTCTAAATGAAATCCTCCCATTGACTTCAGTGGGGTTTAAGTTAGGCAGCATCCAGTCACAAAATTGCTTCTAGTACAATTAAAGAGGAAACAGATGTTGCAGTGTGAGATTTTATATTTTATGTATACAACACTCCTGAATTTCTTAAATGATAGTGAAAATGTTGTAAGATGGTGTTAGTTACTGCTCAAGAAAAATATTGTATGCTGCATATTATTCCATATGTATTTTGAACTCAGGACTGGCATAAAATGTATCACTAAGGCACAACCATTCTCAAAACAGATTCTAGCAGTCAGATACATTTACAGATCCTGGAAATAAGCAATTTTATGGTAAACACTGTTGATGCTCGATGTTTTAAATAGACTGAAGAATTTTGACACAGAGGTTTACATTAAGACCTTACTTGGAAATTTGAGAAGAGAATTTCAGGTTTTTAACGTGTGCCGTATCTTTGTGGTACTCAGCACTGAAGACATCATGATAAAACTATTCCAGAAATGTGGTGAAAATGGGACAGTTACATGTTTGATGCAAGTGATTTATGGAGGCTGATCTGCGGTGTCATGAGTGGCCCTATAGTTTTTAATTTTGCCCTGTATCTCACTTCTTGGGGTGTAAAAATATACAAGCAGAATCTGTAATTGCAATTCTCTTAGTTCCTAACAATGTACTCTTGAACTGGGTTTGCTTATAATCACATTTCTCAGAGTCTGTCTCAGAAGGTTTTTAGACTCCGGCACACAGTCTGTGCTGGTTATGTTTGTTTTAGCTTTTAGAATATTTTACAGCTGGAAATGAAAGTAGAAAGCTAGGACTAGTACTGTCTAGGGCACATACGGAGGTTAGCTGCACATCTCCTCCCCAAAATGATCTGGGTTTTTATCATACTTTTTATACTTTTGATAAGATACTTAGATTCTAAAGTACAATTATGAAGCAATTCAAAAAGACGGAGAATAATTCAGCAGTTACACAGGCTCTACTTACATGCTATTGCCCAGGGCAACAATACATCCAGACTAGTAATTGATTTTAAATGATAAACTTTTATTCTGAATATACTGTTTTTGCACAAGAATTAAACACAACATTTCTAGGATTATAAACTTTTTTATAACATTATTGTACAAATTTTTACAAAATTTTATTTTTCCCAGGCTTGTCAAGTTCCACAAAAGTGTCAAGAGAACACAATAAAAGGGAGAAAAGACCTTTTTGCCCACTAAGAGCAGTCAAGCCTTTTAGGTTTTTTTTCTTTTTTTGCAGGAATGCGAGCATTTCAATAAAAATATCCCAGAAAGCATAATCCAGACATTCCATACAACACAAGAGAAGACAGCTTTGTCAGATCACAATTGCAAAGTCATGGCATCTGCAGCAGACAGTATCCCTTTAGCCTCAGTGAAATTATTTCTTCAAGATGATACTTTTCTTGGAAAGCCAGAAGCAGCAGAGATGCAAGGAGCTGGTATTAGGGTGAGGCCAACGCTTTGAAACTCTTGAATTGTTTTCAGATACTTTGTCTAAGTCTTTTTACAGTAGTGTACACAGAATATTAACAATATTAACATTGTGGCATGGAAAAAAAATGGCCTGGTTTAAAGACCTAGATGTCTGATGAAACTAGGGAAAAACTTCATACTAAGAAAGTGTTCCTGACATATCACTTCCAGTAGACAAGCTAGAAGCATCACAGAGTTTTGCAGGGGCTTTGCCATAAGTCATAAGTACTAGCAGGTTAGCATCCGGATGTGCAGGATTGGTGGGATTAATGTAGTGTTTCAAAATTAAGACATAATAATAATAATTAAGCTTTCTGAGTGTCAGTGTAAAGGGGAACAGAGGGTCTCAATGTCCTTTAAAAGATACTGAAAATTCTTAAATGCAGCAAGTAACACTTGGGTTGCAAAGGTCACTTAAAAGGGATACTGCCTATTTGAACCCAGTAAGGCCAGTTTTAAAGTTAGTAAAAGGAATATTATAGGAAAACTTACAAATGGCAGCAACACTGGTCTTGTCAAGTTAAGCAATAAAGCCTCAAGCATTAGAAATATGAAAAAGATCATACTAAAGTCTTAAAGGTACAGGACCTAAAAATCTCATCAATCAAACCCGCTATGTCATGTTAAAAACCTGTTACAAATGTGGACCACGGTCTGTGTTTTGGCAGTAATGCTGGTTGTTCAAATGAAAAAGAAGAGAAAAACCATTCATGTTAAGTCCGTATACCATTTTGTTGTTGTTTTGTACAATGCTAAAATGACTCCATTTGTGGTTATTTGTCAGATATACATTAGGTAATGAGATGACTGTGTAAAACCAAAACAGTTCAAACAGCTTGTCTGTAGCTCTTGTTTAGAGGCTTTAATCAAATACCAATCCAACTTCTTATTTAATAACTAAAAATATTAAAGCAATTTTTACAATATAATTTAAAAATCTTTCCATGTTAAAATCAAGGATTTGAGCGTGTTCTTTCACAAACTCTGTTATATGAGAGAAAATACATACCAAACTTCCCTGTAACCAACAAAAAACTTTTCCTACTCACAGAAGTGGTTTCTAAAAGATGGATCCAAGCACTTTGGCCAAGGTAATGTTCATATTTTGTTTGGTTTTCTCACAGATAAATATTTTATATATATATCTATATAGTGCATTTTCAAACATTTGGATATCATTTACATATACCCAGAAAATAAACAGCTCTCTGCAAACAGCAGTCAGACTTCATTTTTCTGTAGTAAGCCTTATTAAAAAATAAAATAATACTGGGCCCATCATCAGACAGGCCCGGCTTTGATGACTGAGTACTTGTAAAGAATGGGATTATCAAAAGTGCCAGAGTGATTTAAGAGCACAGTTCCCACTGACTTTAAAGGAGAAGAGAGGGCCAAGAGAGATGCAAACAGCCCCTGGTTCTTTGCCTGGGCCAGGAAAAATTCCCATCCCACAGTCTTGCAAGGGTATTCCTTTCCTCCTAATCTACGGTTGCGTTGTACCTTCAATGGATAGGAGCAGAGACACAGGGTACCAGTGGTCCTCCTGTGGCAGCATGGTTCTACACCACCCTTCCCTTTGGGATTTGCCTATAAGTACCTATCCTAAGTAACTCAGGATATGGCTCACACATGCTAGCAAATCTAGTCAAGTATGCATGATTTAAAAGTTGAAGTATTTTATTTTTCCATTACATGTTTTTTCCCCCCTGGAAAACTAAGTTGAACTATTTAAACATAAAGCACTTAATAGATCTTTCAAGTAATCAAAAAAAGCAAATACAAACTAATGTGCAATCTTAAGAGTTTGATCTTTACAGTCCTATAAGCATGTTGTTTTTTCATGTTTGGGGGTTTGAAGCATAGAGCCTCAATGTTGGAAAAATTCTTGCATTTGGCAGCAGGGGAAGGGAGGGTGAAGAGAACTGCAGCTACTGGAAAGTTTTGCTCTAATCCTCACTCCATACAGGTGAAAGCAGCTCATCTTCAGTGGAGATAAACTGGAGCTACCAAGCTCAGTCAGTTCTATTTTTAATCATATGCCTATACTAAAGGGATCAAAAGGCCAATGGTGATAATTCAACACAAAGATTGGAAGGGGGTTTTGTTTGTTTTTTATTGTTTCCCCTATTGAACTCCTAAACATGAGAACATACACAGCTGGAACCAAGGGTACATGTGAAAAACAACCAACCAACTATGGGCACAGCTACAAGTAGAGATTCAATTGTTGAAGTCATACCATGGGGTTTGAGGAACTTCTCTAACTTTCATGGCATGTTCATGCATGTCCAATAATTTCTCTGTAAGATTTTTGATGTAATCAAATTTATATCAGAGTCATTTGCCAGCATATGCATACCAACGCTTTGCATTTTGTTATTTTTAAGAGCTATTGTACCATATTAATATTTGCATATTGCAGCTGTTAGCAGAATTGTACAATATCAGCAGAGTTGCACATTCATTGGTTTAGCTGTCTTGCAATACTGTTTAGTTTTGAAAACTAGAAAAAAGCGCAAATCATATTTTGCATCTACACTATTCTACACTGTAATATTGTAATTTACTGCACCAATTTGTATCACCAACAAGGTTGTATAAAAACAACTGTTTTTTTGTAATTATTATTCACAATCAAGGATCAATGTGCATACATATAGATTCAAGGCTCCCCATTTGTTCAGATTATGTTCTAATTTCAGCAACCAGGAAAATCTTGTTTTGTTAAATTTGCTATTTTCAATATAAAATAGCAACAGCTAGAGGTTTAATATTACAGGTGCAACTGTATTGTAGAAACAAAGGGGGAACCTGGTATGAATCTTTGAGAACATATACTCTTCAAAAATAAATGCGTCAGATCTGATTTATATATACTTAAAATATCTGTACACAGGTTTTCATATGAGTGCACTAATCTGTATAAAACTCACCTCATCTCTTTTACCAGGCAACTAAATTACTTTCTTAGCTTTTTCATTGCACAGTATATTCAGAGCTCCGTTTAACAATATAATTTATGATGATTTATTCGCATCACATTGCAATGTTTAGTTTCTCACACAACAAAAAAAAATCACTCATTTATCTTGTCAATGGACTATACTCTACCATCAAAAAGAAAAAAAAAACCTTAAAAACAATAAAGTAGCAGCATCATCATGCAAAATACCCTTGGAAACCAACGTTCAATAATCACAAAGACATTTTTTTATTCACAAGTTTTTTGTTTGAGCATTTTGAAGGATTTGACTAGCATTATGTAACTGCACTGTGAAGAAACGGGAGAATATTACATCAAAATTAACATTTTTGTGAAGGGGACATGACACTGAATTTAAGAGGAAAACCACTGGTTTTGTTAAAACATTGAACTCCCAAGCACCTTTATATGTCTAAATTCAGTAGCTTCTTGCTTGCTTGACTTTATTTGGTTTTTAAACCAACAGTTTAAGAACCTACCAAAACTTAGCGGGCCACCCGTTTTGATTAATTTTGGCAGAACAAGCCACTCAGCATAAGGCATTTCAGTCACGGTGAATTTCTGAAGACAACTAGCCAATATTTTCATATCCCTAAACCATTTTGGATGAACTGGAGTCTATTATATATTCTGGACACAACTGATGTTCACAGCAGCCGTGAGGGTCTGAATAAAGTGAAGAAAGAGCATTCAAGAAATATCATCTTTACAAGTGCTCATGAAGAAGTGTTGCAAGGTCTGCAACAAATGCAAAGTTAAGTTCAAAATAAACAGAAATCATATTGACCATAAGCTACCTAAGGGGAGCCCTTATACATGAAGTCATCAATGATACCATAACCAACAAATTAAGATTCCTCCATGAAGCGCACACAAATTCTGTTCAGATGGCATAGATGATGCAGCATTCACACAAGTTTAAGGATCTGACTCCAACATGCAGCCACTGTGGGTGCCCTTTTGAGTCTTTTGCACAGAGTGATACCAAGTCACGGGCTTTGCTGTTCTTCTGCTGTTTGAATAGTTGACCCCTTTTAAAATGAAACTGAGGGCTAATGTTTTGGCAGGGTCTTGATTAGGTATGCAGGTTTTGGTTTAACAGGGTCATAACTGACAATGTCTGCTACCAGATAACAGCCAAAGCAGGAAAAACTGGATTCCAATCATAGACCAAAGTGATGGGTTCAGACCAGAGACCCCACCACAGTCTGTTGAATCTTCCTGTTGTAAGAAAAAAATAAGATAATTCAGTCTTAACTGAAGTAAACGACAGACATCTACTGAAATAAGCTATGTTTTAGGCTCTCATTTGTTGAACTACCCTTGCAGGGTAGATTTTGGTCTCAGATATATTGTTTTCCTTAAAAAAACATTGCAAGTAATTCTTGGAGCCATAATCTAAATGTTCTTTCTAAAAAGGACAGAGAAAGTAGTTCTAGACCACCTTCTAAATAGAAAAACAAATAAATACAAGGCCTACTGTGGATATTCACTGAGACAAGAAACAGTGTTTGTTAAAACCAGCGGATACATTTTTATCTTGTGCAAAATAGTTCAACCAGTTTAACTTTTTGCACAGACATAGTGGGTCTTCCAAAAACACTCTGCTGCAAGTAAAGATAGAAGAGTAGTGAATTATCCATGGTAAGAGAAGCAGCCTAGTTGCAAACAAATTTATCTCTAGCACTCCTGTGCAGATCTGCACTCAAAAGGAGCACACTGTACAACGAGACCAAAGACAGCAGAATGCTCTTCTTCAATTCCTGTTGCTGCTTTCAAGTACAGGAACAAACCTCATGTTGACTTACGGCTCTCTCTACAAATCACAGACAACAGGTATCTCACTTTGGCTAAGCTAGATGCCCCTTTATATTTTGCTGGGGCTGATTAGGGGCTGGGCTGGCTATTGCACTGCTCTGACAACTAATGGCCTCCAAGGTTCATTATGCCATCCAGGAACCACAGCTCTTGAAGCACATCATAACTCCAACCCCTTGTATTCTCTCAGGCAGGCCCTTAGCTTACCAGGCATAGATGAAGTCTTTTATGTCTGCCAACATAGTTAAGATTATGGACCTGATTTCTGGATCTGACTTGATGCACTTGATGTAGGGACCATCCCCTTTGCCATCGTTATGACTCCTTGGTTCTTAAGGCTGATGCCTAACTACCCAGAGTTTCACAAGCGGTTCTGAACAAGAGCACCTAACAACAGTTTAGTGTTTCGTAAGAATTTCCCCATGCCTGAGAGATTTGGAAGTAGCTAAAAGAGTAGGGCCAGCTTTATACTTCTTTTGACAACCAACACGGAAAAAGTTTTTTTTCAATTTTCCATTGTTTTTACTGTATCTTTATCATTGAGTAAAAGGACCCATATTTGATGCAGCTGTACTGTCCACCTTCTACAGTTTCTCACTGAAACTCTTCACTACGGACAGTAAGAACCTATTGGAGCTCAAGAAAGAGTTAGTTTAATGTTAAGTGTTGAAAGAAAGTTTACACCCGATGGCACTGGTTTTAATACCAGTGAATCTGCGCTGATTTATACCACATGAGGATCTGGCCCATGTTTTTTGTTTTTTTTTTGTCCAAACTTCAGGGGTTCAGCTCTAAAGGAAACTCCAATAACCAGTCACAAGATAACTTGACTTCACCCTACATTTTCTTCCTAAGCTTATTTATTCATGAGGTTTCCTGCAAAGACTTTTTGGTCCTAGACCTCAATTCCCATTGCCCACAGAGCTTCCTATCAGGATAGATGCTATGAAGATGTAGCATCTCTCTGTAAGGTTTCAAGACCTGTTTCAGAGTAGATAAACTAAGGAAACCAGCCATTTGTACTACAAGCATCTTCAAAGGATATGAAAGACATTTAGTACATATTTGGAACGTTTAGGCCATTATCTACGTAAAGAGTTGATTTGAAACATCCCTTGCCAGACATGTTGTAAAGCTATCTCTAAGAAAATCAAAGACTTTTTAGAATAAAAAGAGTTCTGTGGTTTTTCAATGCTCCAAGGGCTAAGGCTGATAAGACTAGCCAGGTTAGTGAATGTTCATGGATTTTCTTTTAAAATATATATCCAAGTGTTTCTAATTCTTATTTTCTCCTAAAGAAAACATCTCAGGCTTGATTCTGTTATCAATAAGGGCCCTTTCTATGATGCTTTTGTTTGACTGTTGAATTTATTTCTACTTTTTTGGCTTTTTTTCCTAGTAGTCTCCTGTAAGTTCAAACTTCCTAATGTTGCTGGTCAACAAATGAGTCACAAATGAAGTTTGCTGCACCAGATTTGTGAGATGAGTGAGATGTTATGACATGAAGATGCACTGGACTTTTAGGCTAAGTAAAGACAGTCAAAAATCCTAAGGCTGAGTCAATTCAATCTTTGCAGGTTAGTCTGAGCCTCATAGATTGAACCAATCAGTAAATGACCAGACATTCATTTTTGATTCTGAAATGCAGCCACATGCTTACAGTGGCCAAGCCAGGGGGCACTGCCTCCCTGCTTAACTGGGGCAGACAGTTTGGGCTAAGGCTAGCCTGCCCACCCTGTGAGGAGGGGTTTCGGGGGGTGCAAAGAATCCTGGGATGCAATCATCCAGATTTTCTTAAACTGGTTTTGGCCATTTTCAAAGCAGTTTATGTGCACCGAACTTCAGTTTTGTTACAAATTTGAACCAATTTCTGATCACTTATACCAGTGTATGTGTAACATCTGTCCCTAGTTTAGAGTTATTTAGTTTGGCTCCATTTACTTTCTTTTGGGGCTTGCATTGTGACTTGCTACATAGCTGGATTTCTATCCACAACACCTAAAAATAAACCAGTTGCATCTTCCTGGAAGTTACAACCACTAAGAAAAATTCATATTATGAGAGGGTAACTCATATAAATTAATCAGGGAGCAAAACCCCATTATCATATAACGTATCTGCAGGTGGACAGGTATACTAAAGACATGAAGGCACATGCATGAAGGAAAACCAAGGGTATAAAGCAAAACTGCACATTGGTTATAACATGGAGGGAAAAGTGTCAGTTTATTAAAAATAGCACCTTGTTTAAATACGGATGATGTAGACAGATTTCTAAGTCAGAATGAGCTTAGTAACCAGTGTTTATTTTTTACCTTTGTATTAGATCAGATACTGTGAAGAGTACACTGATGGCTGATCCCTTCTATTGTAAGATATGGCTGAAGAAACTGGGGTGAATTTTGTTACAGCTTTCCTTTTTTAAATATTGGGTTGAAAAAAATTACTTTGATTCTATACTGCTTCAATTTCTCAGAGTTTTAGTGCCTTACAATCATGGAAGAGGCCTCAGAAGCTCCAAGTTAAAAAGGCTTCACACCATATTCATCATGCTTGTGTGAATTAAGCAGTTCAAATACAGGTGTGACAAGTGTATACACACACACAATTATTTTTCTATATTTTGGATGTACTATTTGTCTTAAATTACTTAGAATTTCTAAGGCTTATAGACCAGTGGACAGTGGGCATGTATATGAACTTTTGCCTGTCACAACTCAGAAACAGAAGAACTTCTGTGGGACTTGGCTAGTTTTTACTATCCTAATCTAGGGAGAAATGTGCACAGTAAGGAATGAATCAGTGAATTTTATTCAAACTATTGTGTATTTTGCAACAGTGTGCATTGCAATTGTCAAAATTCCTGTATGCTTAAGTGGGTACATACAGGAAACAATGAAGAAGTGAAACGAAAATACAAAGGAGCGAGTGATTCCATTCAGATGCATGAAGTAAATCAAGGATGATATCATGGAAAGAAATGGAATTTAGGAGAAAGTGGTCTGAGCACAGAGTCAAGCTCAGTGCAACCACAGCTTTGCAGAATTATCTTCAAAATATACAAGATCACTTTCTTTCACAAGATTTGTTATTTATAACATCATGGTCACTCTCTTCTCCACATCTGCCAGGAATGATGGCACGGGACCTATTTTTTTCCAGCTTATGAAACCAGTCATTTCCCCATATACACAGAAAAACTAAATAAGAATGGCACGGCAAAGAAAAGGTTCCTATATTATATTTTTACTTAGCATTTGTAATATCATGTTTCCTTCACTGAAAAGAATCCTTTTTGCCGACTACTATACATCTTGGCAGCACAAACTTCCTAAAATTAGGTAATGCTTGCCAATTCTCTTCAGCAGCAAGTGCTTGGAGCTGGAAGTGGAAGATGATACAAATCCAAATGTCTCACTAGACAGCAGCAGTAGCAGACGGTGGGCTGGGTGAGCTGGGTGCTAGCCCCGGGTGACAGTTTGCAGAATGGCAGCCCTACATTCTGCACAACCCAGGAGCAGTCAGGTACATGGACCCTGCGCCGCTGCTGTAGTAGCAATAACTACTCTGGCACTCAGCAGCATCTTACCCGCTTTCTCCCCCTGCTCTCCAGCAGGGGTTGCCCAGGCCATAAACCCTGGCTAGTTATGCCTCTAGGCAGCAGTCCTACCATAATAATAATGGGGGAGTTCATTTAATGCAGTCCAACACTAATTCATACCCTTCAGATAAGCAATGAATGCTTGTACAAAAGGTATATTTGTATAACTAATAACAAGAGCTACTGGAAGATAATGTAGATTGTTAAAAATGTGAAAAACCCGTGTGGCCCCTCAGAAACACACTGCAGATAAATGTATTTTAAAATCATAAACTATAATAATAATAATTAATTACATTTTTAACTTGTACGTAGGAGACTTAATCATGGAACCTGTACTTGTTCTCTAAGCACTCTACGAAGAGAACAAAAAGGTAGGATCTTCACAGCCAAGGCTTTCCAGTTTTGGACTTTTAGCTGTTAGTTACCTTAAAGACACTTACTGTAAAAACAACTGTAGACTTTTTACAGTTATGCTACATAGCAAGTTTCCTCAGGATTAAGCAAAATACAGTTGACTTCAACTACCATTCTTAAATATGTATTTTTCATCCTGCTAGCAATACCAAGATATTTCCTATTTGTATTCATTTTCAATTGTTCTAATCAATAATTTTCTTGCATAATAGTGAGTAGAATATACTTATTGTTACTTTATTTCTCTTTGTAAAATGCAATTTCTAAAGTGGCTTACAACAGTTGTGTAAAATATTCATAAGCAAGACAAAACCTCTTGCTAAACTACTGAAATCAGTCTGCTGCAAGATCTTTTGGGCAAGAGTAGTAATTGAAATATAAGATGCATTGGCAGATCATTTAGAAAAGAACAAATTAATTTTGATCCAATCCTGAAACATGCTAAGTTTTAGGACACTGACTCATAACACTGCTTCGGGATGAATCTACATGTATGCTTTAATGTGGAGTTGATTGATTAGATCTGCAGTACAGTATCACCATCTATAAGTGTGGTCATATTAGGACACAGTAAATTAATTAACTCTGCCACAGGATAGTACTGTCTGGGACAAGTACATCCTACAGCAGAGTCATTTCCACCACTGTAACACACATGTAGACGATGACCAGGACTGGCTTGGGCACTGCTTGCTGGCTAGTCCTGCACTGTAGCACCCTTGTGCCCCAGCCAGCCCCTGCACAGCATGCTAAATGAGGGTAGCTCCAGGTTGGCAGGCTGACCCCCTGGCCCACTGCCATCCATGCCTGGTCTGCCCTGACTCAACATGCTGTGGGCCTGGGAGCATGTGTAAATGCTGCACCCAGGATACATAAACTGCAGTGTGAACTGCGCTGGAGTTTATTTCTTTGTCCTAATTGCACATGTAGATGTACCTCCCCCACCCCCATGGTTATGAGTGGGAGTAGAGGGAGTACAGCTTCTCACATAAGGTGTTCAGAAACTTGTAGATTGTTTTCATTTACCAGGTATATATACGCAATAGAAATAACACAGATAACTCCTTTGAGAGGTTGAAGAAGGCAATTTTGGTTTACAAGGAAAAAAAAGAAAACTGTGATAAGTGAACCTGTTAACTGTTGTACAGCATTGGCTTCAGGATCTTCAACAGAGCTACACTGATTTAAACCAGATGAGACCTTGCCTTCAAAATCAAAAGATTAGTAAGAGTAGTACTGATGAACAAAAGAAGTTATCTGCAGCTATAGTACTGCTGCTGAAAGCTTTTCAGTTAAAACTCTGTTTTTTGCACTTCATTTTATAGGCATTTTATAATGGCTTCCTAAGCACAGAACATTAGAAATTAACTTCAAATTCAGATTATGCTACTCTTGCATACTTGCACCTGGAACCACATTAGCTTGCGTTGGGGTGGAGCGGCCTCAGGCTTGCAGCAGGCTTGGGTGGGTCAATCCCAGGCTCCGGGTGGTAGCACTGGGCGGTGGAGGGCTGGATGGGGCATGAGAGTGCCCAAAATGCACAGCCATGTGGCTGACTGCCTAAACCTGCTGCCAGCCTGTGGCTGCTCTGTCCCAGCTCAAACTGCTGCGGTATCAGTTATCACCCACACATGCTTTCTGTGCAGTAAATGACTCCACCATAAGATAGTACTGTCGGGGACTCCCTGACAGTATTATTTTATGGCGGAGTTAATTAATTTGCTGTGCCCTAATGATGGAGCACGTGTAGACAGTGTTGCTTTACTGTGGAGCTAATTAGTCAATTGTGCAGTAAAGTGCATGTGTAGATACACCCTTTGTGTAGTATACTTAATTGCGTTAAATTTGACCTCTGGCAATTTAAGATACCACTTAACCTGAACAAAAATTTGGTGTTTTATATTTTTATATGAAATCTGGCTATTATTGGAGAAGGAACTTTCATTCTCTCTCACAACCTTGAACTACACCTATACAAATTTTTCTACTCCTGAGATAATTTAATACATGACATAATACTTAGAAAAAAAACCCCAGAACTATCAAAGTATTAAGTTTTAGTTTTAACTTTTCCCAGTACTGAAGATGATGAACTCTCTAGGAACATTTTGACTAAGCTGGTTTTATTTTTTTCTTCTTATTAAATTCAGGTAATACTCTAGCCCCATAACTATATGTACTTACCTTCAAACAAAACATTATTAAAAAAACCCTCTTTAAACATTTCTAACACCTTTTAAATAAATGCAATGTACATATTGTATTTTTAACATTGAGAATTAATTATATTAACATGATAATTGAATTTATTTTATTTGTTCTTTCCATTGTTAGCTCTATGGAGATAGTCATGGAAGCATCTCCCCCTAGTGGCTTGATGCGAAGTTGTAGTGGTCCCCCTATATTTTGAAGGGTATATACCTTTCCACTATATAAGGATGGAAGAATAGCCTCATATGAATCGTTAGTTCTTCTGTATATGTACAGTGACTGTGGTACCTAAGATTTCTTAAACAATTAAACATAACATGGAAAAGAGGTTGGTATTTCTTTGTGAACCTAGAATATGTCCACGCAGTTACATTCTAGGTCATAGAGACGACCTTCAGGTTTTAATCTGCATATATAGCATATTTTCATCAGAAGAAACTGCTTTTATTTTGATGATAATGCTGTGTTATGCTGGATAACAGTTACAGTAAACTTAAGAAGTGTTGTATTTATAGATTCAGGTTAATCAATGAATATTATTTGGATCATGAATCTCTAAACTCTAAACACAGCATACAGCACCCAATTATGTTTTCCCATTTATATCTTTATATTTGCAGGTATTGTCATTGCCTTAGCACCTTTCTTTATTTCTATGCCGAAAGTTGGCCTTTAGCTTTTTTCTGTTCCCCTTCTTCCTTTTCTTTTGGTCCTTTTCAGGGACAAAGGAGGCAATAAATATTTTGAAGGACTAGCATGAAAAGGAATAGCATCAATATAAGGTTATATATGTATACAAGCTCAAATACTGCTGCTCTACAAAGCCAATAGGATTTTGTGTCTATTGTGTTTATTACGGAAGAGGTCCCATGGTTCTATTAATTCTGATTTACAAGGCTTCCCACAGGGTTTTTTTTAGTACTTAATTCTGCTTAATACTGGTACAATAATGTGCTCCAGATTGCTGCTTCGGGGACTCATTACATTCTGTTTTCTTTTATGTGTTAGTTAGTAAAAAAAGTTTGCCAAGTTTTATTAAGCAAAGAACAAAAAGAAAACCAAAAAAAATAGAGAAAGTAACTGACCATCCACACCATATGAAAACTTGCAGAAAAATGAAGATAGGAGCGGACATCATGGCAGAGGCACGACTCGTTGTGCATATAGGCTGATCCTATTAATAACGGGCAAAGTAGCAAGTAGAGGAAAGGAAAGAAAACACAGAAAAAAAGACATACAAGATGAAATTTCATGCAAATTGCTGGCAGTTAGCAGAGTTAATGTGAAAGCATTCACCCAAGTGCAAGAGATTCACAGTGAGTAATTGAAATAAACTTAACCAAAATATTTCACTATTACAAAACACATGACTTACACACTGAATAGCACATCAAGCTAGTGAGCAAGATTTGCACTTTCACACACAATAATACCTGGATTATATCTGTTGGAAAATTTCCTACATTTAGGACTGATTTGCATATACAAGATTTTCTTAATGTTTATTTGGCCTTGGTCAAACAGAAACCACATTTTAAAAATTTACTACTCCTTTTGTGCAAGATCATTTACAAAAAAAAAATGCTTTTACTTCCATGGTTTGAGCTTGGGTAAGTACTAGGAATATTTGATTGATACATTAAGTGTCAATTCCAGAGGCATACAGCATGCTATATCATATGTTATATTAGACACAGTGTAGTTTAGCAGCAGAGTCAAAGAATGACAATTGCTTTGAGGAAACCACTTTTCTCCTTTTGTTAAGACCACTTTTCTATATGCCTATAAGGAACAACAGGATTACAAATGCAGAGGACTAATATGCTTTAATTAAAAAAAGAACTAAATTGCAAGCTACAAGATCTGAAAGCCATTTGTAAATCTCTCTCTGATCTATAAGGCCCCCTCTACATGTGCAGGTAAAGGTGTTATGGGATATAATGGTTGATATACACAATCATGCCTTCTGCCAAGCCACATGTGTACAGCAGAAGGTGTGATTGTGGGATTGTGCATTAGATCCCATCATGTTTTACTGCCAGTGCAAGGGGAGCACAATCCCAGACTTCTCCTGTACCAGCAGAAGTAAGCTCCTGTGGCTGGCTGAGAACCCCATGCACCTCAGTTGAGGGACTCCCAGCTGCAGGGACACCCCATGCACCTCTGGGGCAGGGGGATTGTGATCCCCCTGCCATGGCAGTGTGTGAAACTCTGAGGGTAGAAGGATTGTCACAGAAGTGATTCCCTCATTGCACGGTTGTAGAGAAACCTTTGGGGCTGAAGCATCACTGCAGGGGTAAACTCACTGCCTGATAAGTGCAGGAAAGAAGAAACCCCCAAGGACAGAGGATCACTATAGTGGCGATACTCTGGCTCCAGGTGTTTTCCGCACCTTCACAGCAGAGGGATCACTCCCAGCATTTTGCTGCAGGGTGCTGCTGGGATCCAGGGTCTGCAGCTGATAGAGCTTATAATCCCCAGCAGTCGTGGGACTCACACAGCCCAGCTGGGCAAGGTGCACCTCTAAGCTGGGAACCCTGTTACCTGATAGAGCTCCCAGTCACAGGGAAGACCCTGCTACACGTGCAAATTAAAGCTTGATTGCAACCAGCTATAAAGTTAAGACACATTTTTGAGTGCTTGCTTCATAGCTGGTTGGAGGTTTTTATTGTGTAATAGCTACTTTGCATATGTACCTGGTCTCAAGGTAGCTGTACAATCAACCAGCTAATTGCACAATACCTGTAATGTGTAAAGGGGGCAAGTGTCTTTAAAGACATTAAAATAGCTTTGGAGTCAAATCTTGCTAAGCATCAATCACCTTTAAAACCAAATTACTTCAGTGAAGGTTGGAAGGCATTCTTCAGTCTGCAATATTGGGCTTAAATAGCAAATTACATCATGGGAAACAAAGGGCAGCCACTGAGGTGTGCATGCTTAGATAATTCATAGTGCAATAACCTATCAATCATGGTTCAGAATGAATATTTTGGATTCAATTTGTTTTCTTTTTCAGACAGTATTTAAAAATGAAAGAGAAAAATAATACTTAAATATCAAAACATATATTCTTCTCTCTCTTGCTGTTCTACCAAAAGGATATCTCAATCCTAATTCAGTACTTCTAGTATCTTTCTATTATTGGATGAACCAATAAACATATCTTATTTATAAAAGGACTAGCCAGAGCCACATGCAGATCATTAATTTATAAATTAGGTTTGTTGACCTACTGGTATCTACAGGAATCATGTGTGAAAGTGCAACGTCTATAGGAAAGGCAGATAAGAAAGCAGCAGTTCATTTTATGTTAAATCATAGGACACTTGAAATAAAGTGACTATGGTCCAGAGTGAACAGTATGTTTAATGAAAGATAGATTAAGTCATCAGGCATTGGGTACGCTTAAGCATAGATTGCATCTACATTGCTCTAAAACATCTCCACAGCTGTCTTTCAAGGGAGTGCTCTTATCTCTGATTCTTAAATCCTTGTGAACTCAACCTTACCTGCTCCGCTTGATCAAAACAGACTTCTGGCCCCTTCCTGTATCTAGGCTGCTTAACCATTTCACAGGGATTTGGCCCTTCATCTGATACTCTGATTAAGGAATACAACACATTAATAGTACCAGCATTTGTTTTTATTTCTTATAATCATAAGCATGCTATGTGAAGCAAAACACGGACTTCTCTGAAAGACATACATTAGCAGCTACTGGCTGCTCTGACTGATGTAGGTTGTACTGCAATTCCCACCCATTGTGACTGTACTCTGTTCAAGAAAACAGCATTAATAGAGACCAAATGTGCTTTGTTTTTGATGACTTACAGGATAACCTTCTGCTGCTTCTAATCAAGATAATAAAGTAGACACTACAAGAATTGGAATAAAATCGGCACATCTAACATTGCTTCCATAAGATTTTTTCCCTTTATTGGGGCAAAACGCAAAGTGAGGGGAGGAGGTGGGGAGAGAGAACCAGTTTATTTTGTAGCATTTTTATTATATTAATTTCATTAGGTTAGTTTTAAACACAATGGGAGTTTTGCAAAAAGGTTACAAGATCTAGGCCTATTATAGTATTCATTATTTGAATTAAATTAAAAATGATCTTACATTGAGATTAGGGCTTTTATGCAAAAGGCACTGTATAGGTTGGTATGAACAGAAATAAAGTTTAATTACCTCTGATTACGGTTTCAAGTGTTTGAGCAGGAGGTGAAAAAAAAGCTGAAATGACTCACCCAAGATCAATAGCAGAAATGAAAACAGTACTTAAGTCACTGAACTCACTGCCGAGGAACAGGATTTTATTGTCCAACACTTCATGTCTATAATCACATTACCATGAGAAGTTTGTTGAGCCTTTTATAAATTTCAGCTGTTGCTATTTGAAATTGTCAAATCTGGGTCTAGAGTATTTCAAAAGCTTAAAACACTTCAAAATAAGTCTCATAGATACAATCTGTGCTGATTTATGCTCAGGGCAATACCCTGGCCAACTTTCACTGCAATCTGTGTGAAGTCAGTGAAGTCATCCCAGTACAGATGAGACAGTAACATGGAATTTCATTTTATAACAACTGGCAGCCTTGTTCACACCTTATTAGCTGTCTCTTACCTAGTGATATCATGATGGGATATATGTGATGAGATTTCTATCATGACAGAAAAGTGTCAGAGAAAGGGATAACTTTAAAGGTTATCTCACTTTAACAAATCTGTACCAGGCATCTGGAAGAAAAGCTTAATAACAAATACCTGCAGATGAATAGCATCCAAAAGTCACCCTCTTGTGTGTCATCATGCTACATCTGCATTTCACAATGCACCTTGAGACAGCAAGCTTGACTTAGTGCTGCTCAGGTAAAACAAAAATAAAGAGTCAATTCATTTTGTCAAACATAAGCCCATCTAGACACTCAAGCTGCCAGCCTTTTCATCCGACCCTGGGAATTTAAGTGCTCCACAGGGAAGTACATAAAACATGCTTCCATAGATGTAGCTTACTTCTCAACCAAAGCACAGATAGAATTATAATCTTATCGTGAATGCGACAGTTAGTGCCTTTCCTAGGGACTACCAGGACCACCACGACAAGCAGCTTTATCATCTGGAGCAGAAAGAAATTTGCAAATCTCTCCTCATAGATCTCTTTGCATGTACATACTTATTTTTGACAACAGTCTTTCTCTACTGTCTGTTAAAAGTCAGGCACTGTTATCACTTTTCATGCTGTCTATATAGCCTAAAGGCTATGGAAGGTCTGAGGGAATTTCCCCTGGCACAGGAGCTGTGTGAAGTTGTTTTTACAGAACTGACCACACATAACAGAGATGAGAGACGGGTGCTATGCTGAGCAATTGAAAGAGAGTCGTGGAAATTTGCTGTTGTTAGCCAGTGTACTGCAGGGACTCCAAAAGGCACAGGCAGGAGGGAGGACGTGCATAGAGCACTATGCACTGTGCTCAGGATTCAAAGTGGTATAGCAAGTACCTAAGATTAGGTTTTGCAGTACCTTAGTATTAAGTTTTTTGGTCAGGACAGCAATTTAATTTGAGCAGATTTGGCATACATGACTCCTTTACAGACACTGCACCAATTCTGATTTAGGTGACTTGACACTCTATAAAGGCAACTGGTACACACGTACAAGAGAACAATTCAGAAAGTCTGGAAAGCTCCTCAGAAGCAGAAAATAGGAAATGCTAAAACATGGAGTGGGTTTGAGCTTACTTCCAACACAAGATGCCCACGAGGTGTTTCTGTCATAGCATCTATTCTCACTTCTGAGTACTGTGGCCTAATGGGTTTTGGAGGTGGTGCTGTGCCCCCTTTGTCTAGTAGTCCAATGGTAAAAAAAACGTGTCCAGGAATAGACCTGGGTTTCCTTTCAGGGTCAGAGAATTTGGACCCATATTCCTGTGCAGTAAGAAATGTCTTTACCATCACGTGACAGATTAGACTAGGTGAGGGCACTCTCCCCTATTCATCCTGAAGATGGACAACTAAGAGCACAGGAGTCATGGCACCAGAAGGAGCACAAGCAAGAAGGAGCAGGCACCTGTAACCTAATGGTTGAGGCAGTCCACTGAGGTGGGAATCCTGCTGCTGCCAGCACTGTTTACAGTGGCAGTCATTGGTTAAAAAAGGAGGGCAAAACAAGCCAGAAATCACGCTAGCAGCAAAGTCTAGACCTAGGGCTCCCTTTTCTGGGTAAGTGCCATAGGTAGTTGCTTTCTCCAAGTGTTGCACATTGCATTAAACAAGTATTGCTTTAAAACATGGGGGGAGAGGGAGAGAGAGAAAATGCGTGAGAGAGTGCCCTAGCTACAGAGACTGAGAGCAGCACCCGCCTCACCAGGAGCGACTTCACGGCAGATATTTTAACTGGCCACCATTGACTCCAGCACTGCTAGCCCCTAATGACTTGCCAGCTTTATCTTGGGCTGCCTCTTCCATGTTGTACCTCTCAAGTGAGACATCACTTTTTATTCTGCCATCTCCATCTATAATGCCTGCACACCCCAGTTCATCCGATGTACCTGAATGGGAGTTTTTGCCTCTACTCTTATTTTATAGTGAGGTGAGGGCAATTAGCATATAAGCACTAAGATTTGATCAGCTCAAGCACTACAGGTAGCCTGAAGGTGTGCTCAGCTCCCAGGTCAGGTGACCAACTAAGACCTTTGGATGTACTTCCCATTCCTGGGCCCTGAAATTGAACCGATGTCAGGGTACTAAGGTAACAGGCAAGTGGGTATCAAGTGAAGGCACACATGGCCTTCCAACACATCAGAGTCTTTTCTAGCGTGAAAAATCCCATATATTTCCTCAGCATGGGAATACACATGAAGACCAGCAAATCAAAAATGTATTTAATCAACTATGGAAATTATTCAGACGATCCTTTTTGGGTTTTGTTATGTAGAAATTCTGCATGGTAATCACTGGTTGACACGGGTGCTACAGTTGCATGCCACTAAATGTAGAGAGAGGGGTCCTATATCATATTCCAATATTTGCTAAGCAGTAATGAATCAACCTAACCAGTAGACCCGTTCTTAAAGGATACCCGGCTTTTCTGCTTGCATCAATGGTTTTGGATCACAAGAGCGGCACAGAAATTGGCTGTCACTGATTATGAATACTAGATTGGTGTTTGAAATCTTCTCCGCATGATAAAGTCTAAAAAAAAAAAGAACCATAATTCCCATTACATGAAATGAGGGGGGGAGGGGGTTGCACTTATTCATGAAATCATAAGAAACTCTTAGAAATACATAGATTAAATTCAGCTGCTAATGCAGGAAAAGCATGTTTTATATGAACAGCAAAGGATGGCTAAGGGAAATTTTGCAATCCTTTTGACAGGTGCATTGCTTCCTATAGAGTAAAAGCAGGGATGAAAAAATGGAAAAAAGGACACAAGGTGACTTTATATTAACATGTAACCAGAAGCATATGGCTAACTCAGTAGCTGTGCTGAGAAGGGAAACCAGTTCAGCCACAATTTTATTGCCAAGGCAGGACGGAAAAACATACTACACTGAAAAAAGTTGGACAAGAAAGCCTATTACAGCTAAAGGAAATGTCTACTTCTTTGTTCACTTAGTATCCTTGCATGCCTAAAATATATTTGATGTCCCATTATATCTTTTAGGTATGATATCTCCCATCTTAGACACCAGAGTTAAGAGTATTTCTGTACAACCAATGCTTGTTTTTGGTATTTCAAATGCAAAGGCAGTTAGATTGACATATAGATAGATGCAAAGCTAAAATAGGTATATTCAAGAAAGGTGAAAAATAAAGTAAAACATTTCTCAGCAATGAAAAAAATGATTTCAGGATGTTTGTTCTTGTTTTGAATTTAGAAAATTATATCTATTCTACCCTGTCAATTTTTTCTACCCATCTAAAGCAAAAAGGCAAAAGTTAGCCTTTGTTTTAAATGGAGATAACGTCATTCATCTCAGCAGGATTACTTTTGACTATTCATAGTTTAAATTTTACCCAGCTGCTCCATTATATTGAGAAGTTGAGGAATATTGAATTACACATATTACATAAGAATTAAATCAGCAGAATTACTGGACAACAAGGGAAAATGTGAAAAAGCTGATCAGTACTTTGAACATGTCCTGACTTTCAATTTGATAATGGGACAAATGGGAAAAGTATCTCAGTTCGAAATATTTGAGATAGAATCCCAAAAGTTCAATAAATGAATTTTTAAAAATGCATAAACGCCTTTATAAATAAAATGTCTTAAAATACATACAAGATAGTTCCATAAAACATAAAAATGCAACTCAGAAATTGTTAATACTGCATGTTAGTGCATACCCGTCACCCCCAAATAAAATAACTACCTTGTTTTGGGAAGCAGAATGAGAGAGAAGGAGGGACAGTCTACTCTTCAACAGCACTCTCTCTCTCCTTGTAACTCTGTCGCTCCAGCCTTAACACTGTCACAGCCACTGCCAAGTTGGTAGCAGCTTTTGGCAGAGCAGCCGAATTCAGCAGTGGTTTTAGCAGGGTTAAGGCTTGAGCATCAGACTGCAAGGAGAGGGTGAGAGATGCTGAGAAGTGGACTCTCCTGCATGCTGCTGAGCCCAGCACAGAGCCAGCCCCTGGTAACCACTCCAGTGCAGAAATCAGCTGCCCTGCTTAAAAGTCACACTCCAGTTTGGGATGATAATTTTTTTAGGCAAAGGATATATGTGCTATGAGAGTAAATACTGTAAATTAAATAATTACAGATAAAATAATGCTGTTTCAAGCAAGAATCCTAAACATATCCATGTAAACATACACTTAACTATACATGCTGTAGTGTTGTGCAACACTAAATATTACTTAACCTTTCCACTATGTGTGATGTAGCTAATGCGTGGATGAATTTACCCTGTAATTGCCTTTTCTACAATTCACATGGACAAGAACTGTTTTGCATAGTGAAAAAAAATTACCTGGAACAGTTAATACAGTCTACGATCCCCATGAAGGATTTATCATCATTTTCAAAGAAATACTGAGTTTGCTCAGTAATGCAGCTCTGTTTTGACAGGGCAGCCGTCAAATCATCGTCATCCATGTCCACTGAGAGACAGAGAGGGAAAACAAAGGCATGGCCAACTTAGGGATACAAAGAAGAGGGTAGAATTTGGCCGTGTGCCTGGAGTTATAACTTTTACCTTACGCTGCCCCCCAAACAAACCATGCATTCACCTGCTTCCAGGAAACGAGGAAAAGTCAGGCTCAGAAACAACTGCTGTAAGATAGACCTGAAGAGAGAAAAACAAAAGTTTTGTTAATTAAGTAACGATTTGTTGCTATTTTGTCTATAGCTTTGCTGTCCCCAATGTTTTCCTGGGTTTCTAACTGAGCAACATCTTACATTAATTACACTTACACCAGCTCATGTGACTGCTATTATCTGCTATATTTTGTTGATCACCTTCTTCCTTCCTTCCCTCATATGCTGTCTGACTGTCACTATTCACTGCCCTTATACATGTGTCAGCTAGCAGAAATGGTAAAGAGCACTTTAACTGTGATCCTTTTAGATCTCTGATTTTTGTGGAATAAAGATGCCTTTAAAATCCTTTAAAATAAAGGTCCTTTTAAAATCTGCACCCTACCCCAGACTCATTGGCCTCCTAGCACTTTACACCTGACAACAGTCCTGGAAGGCAGAGAAATACTGGCATATTCAAACTACTTTATAAATTTATAAGCCCACATCCATTCTTGCATTTCAGATCACCTCTGTCATTTCTTCCTGGATGAATATCTTCAGTGTATCTTTTGTATAAGTTTAGGATGGCTAAAATAAGCTCTGTTTTTCCTTATTCACATCTATATCATTTCTATTTCAAATACCTTATTTCTGTTGCAGAAACTTCCGAACTTGCATTTCTCTCTCCAGGTTTGACACACTGTCAAAAACAATGAATCGCTACCCTTACCTGGAATCCTTCCTGGGCTCCTCCAAACTGCAACTTTTTCTCTTGTAGCCCTAACTTTTGCCGACGTATCTGACCTACTGCCTTTTAGTGGAAAACTGTTACAAGCTGATGAATATGCCTCACAAGTCTGAGGCTCTCTCTCCACCACAGATATACCCCATTTAATCCAGCCATGAATGGATACTGGTTATTTGGGCTAAGAAAAAAAGGTGGCAATATACAATACTAGTCACATGTACTGTTAGCTACAGACAACAGTGTGTCATGGTATCCACACAGCCTATGGAGCTGAGGCAGAACTTGGACTATATATTTTTTTTTATTCCCTCATTTTTTGCTCCACCCAAAATGCTGGCTTCAGTGCTCCTTTGGTTTGATTCTCCGGTTCCAGGACATATCCTCAAAGGAAAGGCATCTCCAAGTCACCCCTGTGATTAGGACTTGACAGCACTGCATGAGCGGGCTCATTTCATTCTTACAACATTGTTGGTAAGGATCACTGAATGGGCAGCATACAGTCCTCGGGGATGAAGACATATCTTGTTATTTAATGACCCAACTTTCTGATAAAGAAATTAAGTCTCACGTAGCACTGTAGATGTGAAGAAGGTTAACTTAGAGAATTTACTGAGGATGAATGAAGAAAAGAAGCTTGGAGAAATTATGAATTGCAAAAGTGCATAGGAGAGAAGATATTTACTCCTTAATCAAATTCTAATGCTCCCCTCATAAATGTTAAAAATTACTTACTTTTTCATACATTTTTGCCTGAAATGCAATGATTTTCTTTAACCTGGCTTCTCCTATTTCTCTGCTTTGCTTTCACCAGCTGTTTTGCTAAATCCATTCTGATATTTTTTTTACTCTATTTCCTTAATGGCCTTCTCTACCTCTTCTAACCTAGATTCCAGTTTTAAAAATTCCACAGAAGATACTTTATGGTATGCTTTCAATTGTAACACTGGGGAATACAAGGCCCAACTCTAAATTGAGTCCAGACCACTGCATCTGATTTGAGAATTGATAATCCAAATTTCTCTGTCTGAGCAAAGATTAGGTTTCTTCTATGGATTATTGCCCATCTTCAGTTTTTGAGGTTCATTTTTATTCTAGAAAACAAAGATCTTAACTACTCCTGCTAGCTAAATGTACCAATAAAAAAATGGGCAATATCTTCAAAGTGCCATCTGTCAGACAACTGCTACACATCCGTTCAACTGTAATATATTGTAATACTTACCTCCAGATACTAGACAGCATATCCCACCATGCTAATTGTTACTTGGAGGAATCATTACAAATCTTTGCAATGGGGAAAGGGTCAGAGGGTGCACTTCACATCATTGTAGAAGGCCTGTCCAATATATACCATCCCGCTTAAGTCCCAATTAAACCTTTGCCATGTGGGTGAACTAACATATATGGGCTGATATTGCCAATACACACTGGCTGAATTTATTCTTATCTGTGACATAAAACTACCAAAATAATTCCTATAGTTATTTCTCATTATATATGGACCTAAATCAAAATGAGACAATGCTGCTATGTGGAGCTTTAGCTTAAAGATTTATACATTATTGTATTTAGCTAAAATACTAGTCACTTTAGTACAGTAATAAGTATAATCCTGGCTCCATAAAAATCAAAGACAAAATCCCCCCCCAAGTTAAAGCTCCTACTTTTCCAATCTACAGTAGTCTGTCAGGTATATGTTATCTAAATGAAATGTAGTTGTGCTGAAATGGAGCCAAATAAAAAAACCGGAAGTTTTTATCGCGTGCTGTGTGACATATGGTTGCTTCCTTTCAGAGGTGTTATTATGTTTATGGGCTCTTCCACAAAAACAAAACAAAACAACCAAGAACTGCTGAATACTACTAATCAATGTATTTTGATGTCACATGATGTTCCTAAATAAACTTCCTTACTTTTTCCAGTGGAAGCTGATATGCATTTTAGCAAAATGATTTACTATACTAAGGATTGAAAATTGATTCTTCATCAGCTTGCTAGAATGAATTAAAAACTATATTGTATTGTATTATGGAAACATATAATCAATAATTATGAATAGGTTAATTTGATCTGAAATCTGCCAGGCAGAAATCCCAGTTTAGGATAATTAATCTAAAACAAGCATCTTCCACCTACACATGAAGGTTAGAGTGAAAGTTGAGAATTACAAAGTCTGGGAAGACTAATTTTGATTTATGATCAAAGAAGCTTCCAAGAAGCTTCACAGAATAAAGTGACTACTGTTTTTATATACATTATTAGAATATTAGAACTTACCAGGCAGCTGCAGAGGCCCACCATCCTAAATGCAAAATATCTGCTATTGTTGGCTGGAAAAACATGATAAAGAACATGCCATTAGTACATGGCATCTGTATGTCCATAAAAGAAATGATGATAATTTGGCAAAGGGATACTGACCACATATGCAGAACGAAGCCCAGCTCCTTGCTTTGGTTCTTCTTCAGGATCACATACAGACTGATAATCGTACGACTTGTTAAATGCATATAATGACATGTTAATGAGATTTCGCATCAAGCCAGGATCAATTTCACCAAAGAATCTTCCAATCTGGTATTAAAAAAAAAGTGTCAATAAAAACACTTCTGAACATTTTTATGACATGACAGGTAAAAAAATTAGAAAAAAATCTCAACAATTTTATTTATTTAAAAAACATGGTGTTTTGATGGAATGGATGTTTTTAATAAGTGAAAAGCTGAAATACTTGTGGTATTATATACCAAAGATTTAATTCTCAATTCGCCAGACAACCACAAAACCAGTAGCATAACTAGGGCGGGGCGGCCAGGGCAGCGGCCCAAGGTACCAATTTGGGGTGGAGGCATAAAAATAGCAGCTTCTGCTGCAGCTGTACAGCCATCCCAGCAGCACAATGACAGCTGGATGTCACTACTGCCCCCATGTGTGTCCTGATGTCTTGGGTGCCTCTGTGTCCTGATGTCTTGGGTGCCTGGCTTCCTGTTACATCTCTAATCAAAACTACACATAATCTTCCACAATTTAGTCCTTAGTTACTAGGCATGTGTGAAGCAGCTAGTATTTGATTCAGATTTGGATTCGGCCAATTCGAGGGGCAGTGATTTGATTTGGTGATTTGAATCACTACCCCAAACTGATTCACCCGACTCTAATTCGGAGATTTTGCCACTGCCGAGTCGGCCAAATCTCCGAATCAAACAGGCCCCA